TATTTCCAACAAAAATGGGTATTCTAAACCAAGTCCAGCAGGCTAATTCTAAGTACTACTATCTTTTCACAATAACAAATAGAAATTTTTAAAAAAGGAAAAAGAAATCAGAGAATTCCAAGAGAGTGGTCTAAGTGTCAAATGAGCATCTGTTATAACAAGGATGATTTCTAAAGGATCAGGGCATACATCTCCTAACACGGGGAGTTAAAGGGTAAACAAAAAAGGATGAAGTTGAGATAATGCCAGTAATCTATCACCAACTGGGACGCCTTAGGCGAAGGGAGAAGAAAAGGTGGCAACTGCAAGGCCAGAAGGCTGTTTAGTATCATAGATAGAATAATGGTCCCCAAAACGTCCATGTACTATTCCCTGGAACATGTAAATGTTACCTTACTTGGCAAAGGGAATTTTGTACATGTGATTAAATTAAAGCTTTTGAGATGGGGAGCTTATCTTGAGCTACCCAAAGGGGCTCCATGTAATCAGCAGTTCGTATAAGAAGGAAGCAGGAGGAAAAAGAAGATGCCATGCTGTTGACTTTGAAGGTGGAGGAAAGGGACCATGAACCAAGGAATGCAGGGAGCCTCTAAAAGGTAGAACGGACAAAAAAAAAAAAAAAAAAAAAAGATCGTCCCCTGCAGGTTCCAGAAGTTATGATGCAATCCTATCTGACCTCAGAAGTTTAGGATAATAAATGAAACTAATACATCTAGTTTGGTTTATTTAGTTAAGAAAGACTTGAGCATGTACATATACTAATGAAAAAATACGAGAGATAAAGGATAGAGATTTTGCATTTTCAATAGTAAAACTAATACATTTTCAGATAAAAGTTTGAGGTTATTCTTATAACTCAGAAGTTCGCTCTATGATAACTAGCTTCACCTATATATTGATTTTTATACTCTAAAATTAGATAAAGGCTGAACAATTCAAACAAGAAAATGAAATACAGAACAACGCATAAGAATTAGCCTTGCCAGGTATGGTGGCTCACACCTTTAATTCTAGCACTTTGGGAGGCTGAGGCAAGAGAATCGCTTGAGCCCAAGAGTTTGAGGTCACTGTGAGCTATGACACCACAGCACTCTACCCAGGCAGGGTGACAGAGTGAGACTCTGTCTCAAAAAATAAAAATAAAAACAAAATTACCTTTGAAAAGGAACATTTACCTTTCTTTCACTAAAACAGGAAAAGAAAAGAGTATCTATAAGTATTAAGCATAAAAAGCATAAAATTAAGGATGGTGATTTATGAGTTCATATTTGTCCCCTAGGATCAGGGGCATTATTTACATATAGTGACTGTTATATTCCAAACATCAAGTACTTGCACAAATTTTCTCTTTCAAAACACCACAAGGCAGAAACTGCCAACACTTGAGAGAAGGATAAGTGCCAAAATTCCCAGAATTTAGACCTAAATCTATTTAACTCAAACACTATATTTACAAATCTGTCAGATAACATCTTAACCAAGTTAATCAAGGTAAACATCACCACTAAAGACATAATGAGATCATCCACCCTTGGTATGACGTGCTGGGAAGGATGATGTATCACCTCTGTGGCATTCTACTTTCCCAATAACGCACGACCTGAGTCAAATTAAGAGAAAATATCAGACAAATACACTGAGGGAAATTTCACAAAACAACTGGCCAATATTCATCACATTCTCAAGGTTAAGAAAGAGAAGGAAAGACTGAGGAACTGTCACAGACCGGGGGAAACTACAGATAGTAAATGTAAGTGGGATCTTCACAGAGGGATTGTAAATACAAGTGGGATCTTCACTGGATCTAGGACATAAAGAAAGGACATTAGTCAAAATCTGGTGAACTCAGAATAAAGACTGTAGTTTAGTTAATACTACTGCACAAAGGTTAATTTCTTAGTTTTGATCATTGTGCTATGCTCTCAAAAAGTTAAAAAAAAAACATACTGACCTGCTTCTATTAGAATATGCTACTCTTCTGTGAGACTAGCATTATAGTCTATTCAGGATTAATCTACATAGCTGGAAGGCCTAGGGTCAGGTTCTGACTTGCAGTTAGCAACAGCAGGTATGGTCGAACATTGGCTGGGTTCCTGAACTGCCTGGCATCCTGACTCCTGGCATAGGTGCCTTAATACCTGATCTCTGACTCCCACCTTACCCCCCCCCTTATCACACAAATTCAATCCCTGATCCCAATCTCTAGGATAATATGCTGAGGGGAAGAGCATGTAAGTGAGGAGAGGTGAGTAAAGACAAGGTATATAGAATATATTAGATAAATCAGCAAAGTAATTTCAGAACATAATATATTAATCATAATCTTCTCTTTTACACATACACTTCTCACATTTGCAAAAACATCTTCATAAAATTAGAAGATGAAGAGAGGTTGCGTATGGGGCTCACACCTATAATCCTAGTACTCTGGGAGGCCAAGATGATCATTTGAGTTCAGGAGTTTGATACCAGCCTTGGCAAGAGGGAGACCTTGGCTTTACTAAAAATAGAAAAATCAGCCAGGCGTGGTGGTATATGCCTACAATTCCAACTAATTGGGAAGCTGAGGAAGGACAATTGCCTGAGCTCAGGAGTTTGAGGCTGCTGTGAGCTAGCAATTTAGTCCAAGTGACAGAGTAAGACTGTCTCCAAAAAAAAAAAAAAAAAGATGAAGAATCTCAGTAAGTAATACCATAGTCTAAAACTTTAAAAATTCTACAGAAAACATACACATACATACAACACTCAACTAGGTAACTTCTCTTTTAAAAATATAGAACATAAAAAGAGAACAAGGACGGCGCCTATAGCTCAAAGGAGTAGGGCGCCAGCCCCATATGCCAGAGGTGGTGGGTTCAAACCCAGCCCCAGCCAAAAACTGCAAAAAAAAAAAAAAAAAAACAAAGCACACAAAATTTTGTTTTGAAAAGTAGCTTGCCCACTTCTCATTTATCTCAAAAAAAAAAAAAATGGAATTACTTGCATAAATAAATGGTATTTATGTAAGGATGATTACTGCTAGTAGATGAAAAAATTACATACAATATTTAATAAATATTCATTCAGGCATTGAACAAGATGGGTCTAATCCAACTTGTTTGCAAATCCTTTGACAGTGAGTTCTAACCAACACTGAGAGATATTTACCTATGTCCTTTATACTAAGCTATGATCCAGATCAGCAAGGTCCAATAGAAATATAACGCAAGCAACATATAAGATTAATTTATCTAGAAATCACGTTTTACAAAGTCAAAACAAAAACCAGATAAAATTAATTTTAATATTATATTTTATTTAGCCCAATATATGCAAAAGTTAATACTTCAACATGTAATCAAACTTTAAAAAGACTGATATGGTAGACTTTTTGTACAATGAATCTTCAAACTCCACTATATATATTACACACTTATAGCAGCTTAATTCAGACTAGTAACATTTCAAAAGCTCAACAGCCACATGTAACTTGCTGCTATCCTACTAGACGGCTGAAGAAAAAAATATGCTCTGAGTGATAGTGCTAAATTTTAATACTGCTTCATTGATAAAATTCAATGATCTGTTCTACTTGGAAACCAGTACATTCTCCTTTTTCTGAACTCTGTCTTTTCTTTAAATAAATCATCCCAGATTATACAAAAGCTTCTTAAAAAGACTAAAAATGACAAATTAAATTGAAAACTCCCTCTATGGATTACAGGCTCTTTTTGATTGTTTTCAGTTAAAAGGACACACGCTATAATACCCTCTGGAAAAATAAATAAATTTCTTAAGAAGACAGAAAAAACATGAGGGGCCAACTATTATGAACAAAAACTCAATTGCAGAGACTCTGCAGTCTGACCAAATCAAAAATTGAAACAAATAAAGCAGAGTCTATATACCAAAAAACATTCTTAGAGTGTATCATATCACTTACATTTAAGACATTCAAATCCAGTAAGAGTTTTAAAAATTAATAGGGAAAGAATTTCAAATTTCATTTAAAGTAAATTTCTTTTCCAAACATAAACATATATTTTTCCTTATCATTTGTAAGGGAAGCTTTTCAGAATCATTCTTTTAAAATCAGTTCATCCTTACAACAAATACTGTAGTTGAAATGTTAACAATTTAAACAAATTATTTTTGCTACACTTTACCTTTGACCTAATTCCAGACTAAAACTATGTAAAGTCAACATTATTCATAAACTAAAAATCTCTATGGGTTGGGGCTTTCACTTTCAAAAGCTTTATTTTCACTGATTCCCTAACACAGTGCCTGGCACATCATATTTTCTTACATATTTGTTAAATGGTTATCAAGTAACAGACACCTAATATAATGTCTAGCATTTCAAAATAAAATATTAAAAAAGACAGTCCTTTCAACTAAAAGGTTTTACTAGAGACACAAAATTAAAGCTACCTTACAGTTAAAAGATGATAAATCACTTATTCTCATTGAATACAACACTTCTAAGGCACAGATGTTATCACCATCATTTAATATATGAGAAAGGTGGGGGCAAAAAATGGTTGAGTCATATAATTACAAAGTAGAGGAGCCAGACGTCAAGTCCAAGTCCTCAAACAAAACTGTGTGGGAGAGTGTGGGGGTGTGAGCTGGAATGGGGTGTGTGGATATTACGAAAACTATAATCCATGTCCCTCTTTAAAAAGGATTTCCATTACAAAAGACTCTGCAGAAAAACACACAATGGATGGCTTCCAATTCCACATACACCCCAATCCACAACTTTTTAAGAAACTTAAATCTATTTAAAATATAACGATATAAGCATTGTTGGTCAGAACATAAATGCAACCAGACAAAAAGGCTACATCGTTTAATCTCTCCCTCCAGGGACTAGTCAAACTAAAAACAAAAGCATCCCCTGTGACCTGGGATAGACTCGCCCAGACGCAGAGAAGGGGTGCCGCCCCGCCCGGCCCCTAGGGTGCAGCTGTCCCCCATCCCCTAGGACTGCGCCGGGACAGCCAGGTCCAGCCTACCTGACAGGCTCCCGCCACCGCTTGAACCAGCTACAACAATTGGCCATCAGACTGAACATCCCAGGTCGCTCCCCCGCCACCTCCCATCCGAGCTCAGAGACGGGGTGGGCCCCTAGATTCCTCTGGCCGAGTCCGGGGGCCTCCGCCTCTCCGACGCGCCCCTAAGGAGGAGAGGCCCGTAGAAAAAAATCAGGAGGGAGGGAAGGAGGCCGGTCGGAACACCAAGCTCTGCTAACCGCGCTGGTCCGCGAGCGGACAACGACTCTCCCAGGGAGAGTCAACCCAGAGACCGCGGGGCCGGGGGCTCAGCTACACCGGGACAGAGTTAGCGGGACCCGAGCAAAGAAAACCCCCGCGTCGACGTGCTGACGTTACTCCCAGGCGCGGAAGGCCCTCCCCCAAGCCACGCCCTCATGGCGCTTCTCCAATCATCGATGGAGGGCCCGCAGCGGGGGCTTCAGAGTGGCTGAAGGAGCCCGGTTCCCCGCCCCTGCCGGAGAAGTGCGAAGGGGAAAGCGGAGGGGCCTGGATGAAAGAGGCGGAACTCCGGGGTAGGACTGTTCTTGTAACTAAGCAACCCAAGCGTCCAGAGATAAGCTGAGGGATCTGGTATAGATCTCCGGCAATACGATCTTTATACCCGTACAAAATGTGTTGCCAGCCAAGAGTGCTGCTCCTTGTCTACCTCCAATATCCCTAACTGTGATTCAGAGATTTCATGTCTTGTACATGGGTTTTTATTTCTGTTTGGGAGGAGTTTACTTGCAGCAGGGATGGGGTTCCTCTGGGATTCTGCCCAAGTCTGGCTGCCCAGCTACACCAACAATATACTGGGACAATTATTCTAAGTTAAGGACAAGGGAGAAACTCAATTGCTACATTTTCTCAATAGTTCACATGAAAGTGAAGGTTTACTCTCTCTGTTTATCCCTGTTACATAATATGTGAAATGAAATTGTGTAATATTTGTTGCGTGGGGTTAGGATTAAAAAGAAATATATGTTCAGTGTAAAAAAAATGTGAAAAACAGTGAAAAGGAATAAGATGAAGAAGATGAGATCTATATCTCACCCTCACCATATAAAGATAACCAGTCTTAACATCAGGGTTTTTAGGTACATAAATTGCTGGATACTTGGTTTCTGCAAGATGAAGATTGGGTCCACTGACTATTCTGTAATACTTTATTTTTTAAATGCGTATGTACTGTCCTGTTGTGAAAAAAAAAAGTACATGCACAATATTTAGGAACTTGTGTGTCCATTCCCTTTCTACTTAAATTCCTACTTTCAAATCTTGGTAAAATGAAGGAAAGCACTGAGAATTCCATTGTATTTGGGGGAAAATAATGGTTTTGGGATAAGATAGATCTAGGTTTTAAATTATGGGGCAGGAATCTTTCCAGAATGGAAGTCTTATGACCTACTATCAAACAAAGCGTGTCAGGGAATTTTCTTAAGGCTAGCTCTTACACAAAAGAGAGAAAGTTAGAGTAAATTTTTAGGTTTTATGGTGGCTTTCAGGAAAGGGGGGCTCTAGTTTCTATAAACTGCCTTGAGAAAGAGAAATTCTATTTTCTAGGGCTTACTTAGGGTACAAATGAGGGGTGAGAAGTAGGGGGTGGAGAAGGCAAGAAAGAAATTTTGTTTCTGAGGCCCTTATTTTATAGTATCATTTTTTAAACCCCAGAAACCCCATCTGTAAAATAGAAATGAAAATACCTAATTTGGGGCTATGCACAGTAATTTAGGTCTGTAATCCTGGCACACTGGGAGGCTGGGGTGGGTGGATCACTTGAGCTCAGAAGTTTCAGACAAACCTGAGAAAGAACGAGACCCCTTCTGTACTAAAAATAGAAAAACTAGCTAGGTGTTGTTCCAGGCACCTGTAGTCCCACCTACTGAAGAGGCTGAGGATAGAAGATCTGTTGAGCCCAGGAGTTTGAGGTTGCTGTGAGCTATGACACCACAGCATTCTACCCAAGGCAACACAGCAAGACTCTGTCTCCAAAAGAAAAAAAAAGAAAAGGAAAGAAAAGAAAATACCTAATTTGCAGGGCTGCTCAGATGATGAAATGGGAGACCTATATATCAAGTGCAATTCTGGGTGAATAACAGGTAACAAATTTTGAAGTTGGTGTCACCTGTTCTGTAAACATTTATGGCACTTATCCTCGTATCTCCAGTCTCCGTGGTGGGTAAGGATAGGAGGGCAGGGCAGGGTAAGGGCACAATTTCTATGGGGTTGGCACCCTACTCCTTTGAGCCACAGGTGCCGCCCAAGACACAATTCTTAATTAACTATGAGCCCAATTAGTACTGTTTCTTCTGACTCTTTACTTTTATGAGCCAAATTAGTATGTTTCTTATGACTCTTTACTTTCTTTAAACTGGTGGTTGACAAACCCTAAAGCTCTATTGTTGATGTTCACTCTTTGTAACATTTACTATGATTGGGCTTCTGTCCCATCAAACTACTAAGGATGTATTTTTGGATATAACTTATGTCTTCCTATTTACCAAATCAGTTCTCTTTTATTTTGCATCATTTACCATATTTAATACAGTTAACTCTTGTGAAAATCTTTCCCACCTTGGTCTTTCACAATTATGCACTATTCTGGTTCTTCTCTGATATCCCTGGCTATTCTTCCTCAGGCTTTCTGTATGTATTCACTGAGATGTGACCTTGGCCCTCTTCTTTTCATTTTAAACACATGTTATTTTGGAACATTCCATTATTACTTCTGTGCCTGAAGGATCTTACTATGTGGATGTTTCTGAGAATTTCTGGAATCACACTCAATCCTGTTTATTTTCCACAAAAACACTCAACACCACTATTTTTACCTAAGTCCTCACTTAACATCATACATATGTTTTTAGAAACGGTGACTTTAAACAAAACCAATTTTATTTCTTGGAAAATTAAACTAGAATTAAGTTTCTATGGCATATTTTTGGTCACAAAACATCTCTCAAACTTCTAAATAAAAATTAGCACACTTTTAATATTAAACATTGAAATAAATGTGAGTTATACATACATTTAAGCAAGATTGATAATACCAGTAAGTGGGATGTGGGAGGGAACTGGAATACCCAAAGAAAACCCTCACTGACATGGATAGAAGATGTGAACTCTATACAGACAGTGGCCCCAGCCAAGAATTCATTTTTCTCCTCATACATGTTATAATGAAGTGATATTATTAGAAGATTTGTCCTAATTTGTGGCTTCCCTAATTCCAACAGTAATACAGCATCAAACATTTTTTGTGCCAACGTATAATCAATCAAGACAGGCATGGTGGCTCATACCTAGCACACTGGGAGGCCAAAGTGGGCCGATTACTTGAGTTCATAAGTTCAAGACCAGCCTGAGCAGGAGCAAGACCTCACCTCTACTAAAAATGGAAAAACTAGCCAGGCATAGTGGTGCATGCCTATAATCCCAGCTACTTGGAGGCTGAAGCAAGAAGATAGCTTGACAGGAGTTTGAGGTTGCTGTGAGCTATAACGCTTCGACACTCGACTTTATCTCAAAATACCAACAACAACAACAACAACAACATACAATCATTCACTACTTAGCTAAGCTGACTCTTAGTTTTTCAGTATCTTAAGTGGTTTTGTAGATATAAGTGCTGCTCATCATTTCTGGGGCTCTTTTCCTTATAGGTATGAGAGAAAGTTATTCCCTCCTTCTTGAAGTCAGGCATGCCATGTGCCTTACTTTGTCCAAAGAAATGTGAGTGGTATGTCACTTCTTTGTGAAAGTATTTAAGAGCTGATGCACAGTTCTCAATGTTCTCTCTTTCCTTGCAGTGGTAATTAGGAAAGCTTATGTTGACTTTGAGGTACTGTAAAGTCAAAAAAACAGAGAAGGCAGAAAGTCATACAGACTTGTAGAGTTCACATGAACAAGGAAGCTATTTGGTATCTAAACTTAGTGTAATTTTGCAGCTGTTTTACCATAGTATAATCTAGTTTATTCAGAGTGATGAAAACAGTTAAGATTGTCATTTCATGATCACTGTTGATATTTTGACATCCATATTCCCAGGACCACATTGTTAAATTAAATTGAGTTTTTATGTACCAGTCACTGTTCTAGGCAGTAGGAATATACTTGTGAACAAAGCACAAAAAATTTTTGTCTCATCAGTCTAGTTGTGGAGAGAGATGAGGAAATAGATAGTAACATAATAATAAATTAGACAGTAAAGTAGAAGATGATATGGAGAAATGTAAAACTGAGTAAAGGAATGGAATTAGGATTAGGGATGGGCTTAGATTAAGAGTTAAATTTTGGACAGGTTTTTGGACAGTTATATATTTATAAGCATGCCAAAAACAAATTCTGGCTAAAAGAAATTGAACAGGTATTAATCAATATTGAGCTAAATAGGATAGGATATCACCATTCCAGAATGAACTTCTATGATAAATTAAAAACCTGGAAACTTTATCCAAAAATGTATTATTAAATTGAACTATGAACATTTCAGGTGTTTTTTTTCAAGTTTGACATTACAATGTAGGATGCATAATTTTTCAGCACTGACGACTATTACTGGCACTATAGTACATACCTGTAGTATTGAAAAGATATTCACTTTCATCTTTTTCTCAGAAATGGAGTTTTACTCAGTCTGGAGTATAGTGGTATGATCATAGCTCACTGGAACCTTGAACTCCTGGACTCCAGCAATCCTCCTGCTTCAGCCTCCCATGTAGGTTGGGAATTTAAGTGAGCATCTCCAGGCTTGGCTAATTTATTTTTATTTTTTATAGAGATGGGGTCTTGCTGTATTGCCTAGACTGGTCTTGAACTCCTGAACTCTAGCAATTCACCTACTTTAACCTCTCAAAATGCTGAGATTATAGAATGAGCCACATTGCCTAGCCAGTATTCATTTTCAATTGAAGTTTTTGGAGGAGTAAGGTTTTTTTAAAAAGATATTTCACATTTCCTGAACATTCCCTTCTTTTCTTTATCTGTGTGTAGGTAGTTTGTTATGAAAGTTGGTGATTTGTTACAGCCTTACTAGGTTCATTGTCTGCGGCTTAAGAGGAAGCCAATACCCTGAGACAGCAGAGGTTACAGCAGAGAAAGAGTGTGAGCTTAACATCACAGGCACTGTGCAAGGATTTGGGAGGGAGTTCTCAAATCTGTCTCCCTGAGAACATGTGAGAAAGTGTTTAGAAATATAGTCTGATGGACAAAGGGCTGGCCAATTGGGTTTGCTGATTGGCTGGGTGGAACCCAAAGGGTGGAACCATAGTCATGTAGACATTGTCTTCTAGTGCTTAGTCAGTTACTAAGTAAGGGTCATAAGACCAGTTAAGTCAGTTCTTCTAAATGGGGCCACTAGTCTACGTGGATCATCTTACCCACTGGAATGCTGGGTCTAGAAGATATCTCAAACACTGGCCTTAAGTTTCGCAAAGGTGATGTTAACTATGGGAGCAATGAAAAAAGCTAAGAATCTTTCTATCAGCTATGTGACTCCTGAGTAGCTAGCAATTATAGGAAAGCAAACCTGGGAACAATGGCTGATTTTATAATATACTCGATCATTATTTCTCAAATAAGTTGAGGAGTTAAGGACATTCCACCCCCAAATATGCCATGTGACATAAGTATTATTTTTGACTTAAAGGCAATTAAGGACCAGCAGAAATAGAGAAAGTATTTTATTTCCCCCTCAAATGCCTAGTAAAGTACAAATGACTCCTTTTGTAAGGGAAATTTACATTTATAAAAGAAATTTTTATTGGTAAATTATCTATAAGAATCTGTATCAGGAAAAGACTCTCTCAGAGTCAACTTTTACAGCCTGGAGACTTTCACCTGCAACATTTACAGACCATACATTGCCTTCCCTAACCTTCCCTTAATTTGCTTCTTTTCCTCCCAAAGCTTCAAACCTCTGTTCCTTTCCTTAGCCCCAGAAGGTGTACATCTCAGTCTGGCCGCCTCATCAAGTCTTACATTTCAGTGAAGCTTCCTTTGGAACATACATAAGTATTGTTTTCTCCTCTGCATCAATGTCAATTTAATGCTTACACCAGCCACAAAACCTTGAAGGGTAACAGGAAGACTTTTCCTCCTACTGAGAGAATGAGAATTCCCCAGCCTAGTGTTCTTTCTAGAAAAAAAAAAAAAAATTGACTCTAATATTAACCAACTTCTATCCAGCTGGGTCACAGAACCATAGACAGATAGCTGGAAGAGACCCTTGAAATATGATTAGTATACGAAATTTCACTCTCATGTCCATATGAGATTTCATTTGGGCCGAAATAGTAGAAGTAAGAGTAAATTTGAATGGAATACTACTATTTGACACACACTAATTGCTTTTCATGTTCTTTCTTGAAATCATCACATTAACACTTTGAAAACTTGCTCTTATCCCCATTTTACAGATGATGCAACTGAGGCTTAGAGATGTTAATTTGCTTAGTTATACAATGAGTAAGTGGCAAGAGTATTGCAATTTGAATTTAGGCAGTTCAGCTCCAGAGACAATCTTAAGCATATTTCAGATGTACGTCTGCCTATGGACAAAAGCTGGAGGTAATATGCAAGAAATAAAAGGAGGTATTTGAAGGTGATAGAATTTGATACATTCTCTATTTTTTTTTCAAAACATTTTTTTCTATAGATTTTTTACACCACAAATAGAAGACGAAAACAAAAATGTGATGATCAAAATTTTTTCATTTGGTTTTCCTATCTCTGTTCTCTGCAGTCTTCCTCAAGTTACCATGGACATCTAAGTTTTAGTTAAAGTCCTCCTGGATAAGCCACTCTCTCATGATTTCTTCTGCTAATCCTGGAGAGCCTGTCCTCTCGAACTCTCCAAGTTTTCTTGGTTACTCAGCCTCACAGCCCATCTTGACAGAATGTTTTACTGCATGCCCTTCCCCTTCTCCTTTGAAAATGTCACATTCCAGAGAAACCAAACAAGGGAGGAACTTGGGAATAGATGAGGGAGGAAGTCTCAGCAGTGTTTACTGGGCCTCTGACACCCTCCCAAAGCCCTTCCCCCAGCTCGCAGAAAAGCTTCCTGGAAATGTCCTCGTTATCGCGTCCCCTCTCCGGCTGGGGGCTGGGAGCGGGCGGTCCCCTCCGCCCCTGGCCGTTCCGCGGGCGATCGCAGGCTCACAGGCGCCAGCGCGCAGCACAGCTCGGAGAGGGGCCCCGCGGCTCGCAGCTCCGCCACGCGCCGAGCGCTCTGGTCCTGGCTGCGACGCGCCACCGTCCCCGCCCGCTTCGAAATGAGGGTCCTGGGTGGGCACTGCGGGGCGCTACTGGCGTGCCTCGCCCTGGTGCTCCCCGTCTCGGAGGCAAACTGTGAGTAATCAATAGCGTCTTGTCTTCTCGCCTTCCCAGCTTGAGCCGACTGAACTACGTGCCCTGCTTGGTAGCATTTTCTTCTCTAGACTGCAGCCTCCTGGAAAGTTTTCGTCCCGCGGATGAAGGCAGCTGTGGATCTAGGGGGCAATGTAATGGTGGGGCAGGGTCAACATCACCCCCGCTTTGAGAATGTGTCGCCTACTGGACTGATGCAAGAACTCGAGTGACGCTAATTATCAGCCAAGGGCTTAGTGCACCTACCTGTTTCTCCTCAACCTGATCTAGTGGCTAAGTAGGGAAGAAAAGGCAGCGCACAGCACCCGGTGTCTTCCCAGCACAAGCGCCTGCCCCCCAACTGCGCCCTGTGCTTCACCAACCTCCCTTTTGCAATCTCTGAACTTTGAGCTTGGTTTGTATGTCCCACACCGACGAACTTTTACGGTGGCTACAGTTTGCGTTGCAGTAGGCAGTTGTCATTTTCTAACCTTGAAATAAAAGTACTGTTCAATACTGTATTGTTTTTCTTAGATTATTCTGTACTGAGGATTTTGGACACTGCGTGCCACTGATCTGAGGTGGTGGCGTGAATTCCTTGTACCTTATCTTTGTATTTCCAATTTTTTATGCTCCTATGCCCAGATTCAAGACATCATATTGAGTTTTCTCTGAAAAATATGTAAGCAATATCAAGGCATTTACATTTTAGTTGTCACTTAATTTGTTCCATAAAGTTTAAGTATATTCATGGATTAAAAATGCTTTCTTATGTTATCTTTTATTTTCAGGAGTTAGCACAGGAAAGATAATTCTGTATTACAGATAACTTGTCGGCTGTCTACAGCTCCAAAGAAAACTTTTCACGAGTAGTAACTTCTAGAGAATTGAATAGGAATTTCTAATATTCCATTAGTTTTTATTAATTAGTGATCAGGATGAATGATGCATTTTAAAATTCTAATTTAAATGCTAAAACATTATTTGTTGATCTTAAAGAGCTACAGTTGCAAAACTTCAACACTTAAATGACTTGTGGTTACATGCACTAACTTAAATCTATGTAGTTCATTAGGACAATTAACTATTTGCTTGCTAGCTAATGTTTCAGAGAGGAGAAAGAGGCAAAAGTGGCCACCCTTAATTACTTGTCATCACAGGAATTTGCGAGACCCTTTTCTTTTGTTGACATCGTTACATTTTGACTGAATCTAGGCAAAGGCAAAAATTATGTGTGTGTTATGTATATTATATGTACCTATAGATGGAGAATTACACTTGTCATATGTAAATAATAATGGTATATATAAATTAATTCTATAGGTATATCACATAAGAATAGTTGTCCCTATGATGGCTTCATTTAAAAGATTTTGGTTGCTTAAATGGGTTAAAGGTCATCTCTGGTTTACTGGCAGGGAAGCTTATACGCAGAGGGGATGTTTTTACTCCATAAGATTTTAAACTTGAGATTTAAGTAGATTCGAATATTATATTTATATTTTATCAATTAGGCCATAGACATATAGTTGCTATTTAAAGAAAAAGTTTATGAATCAGTTTTATTTTGGCAGAGTTGTTAGAAATCATCTAGTTCAACTTCATTTTTTTTTTTTTTTTTTTTGGTTTTTTTGCATTTTTTGGCCAGGGCTGGGTTTGAACCCACCACCTCCAGCACATGAGGCCGGCGCCCTACTCCTTTGAGTCACGGGCGCTGCCCTCAACTTCATCTTTTAAAAACTGATGCCCAATAGTTGTATATATTTATGCCGTACCTGTGATATTTTGTATATGCATGGACAGTCTAATGATCAAGTCAGGGTATTTGGAGTATCCATCCCCATGAGTATTTTGTTTTTTATATTTGGGGAACATTTTAAATCCTCTCCTCTAGAAATATACTACATTATTGTTAATCTAGCAGTATGTTTATGCACATTTACCAGCCCCTTCATACCCCCATGCTCCCACACCCTTCTAGCCTCTGCTATCTGTCTTTCTACTCTCTATCCCCCTCTTTGAAATCAACTTGTTTAGCTCTCACATATAAATGTCTTTCTGTGCCAGGCTTATTTCTCTTACCATACTAACCTCAAATTCCATCCAACTGTTGAAAACACCATGGCTTTTTTATGGCCAAGTAGTATTCCTTGTGTGTATATGCATTTTCCGTATCCATTTGTCTGCAGAAGGACACTTAGGTTGATTCCATATCTTTGCTATTATAAATAGTGCTACAATAAACATCAAAGGCAGGTAATGCTTTGATTTACTGATTTCTTTTACTTTTTTGTTTGTTTTGTTTTTGAGACACGGTCTCACTTTGTTGTCCTCAGTAGATAGAGTGCTGACGCATCTTAGCTCACAGCAACCCCAAACTCTTGGCCTCAAGGGATCCTCTTGCCTCAGCCTCCTTAGTAGCTGGGACTACAGGCACCAGCCCCAAGGCCCAGTTAGTTTTTAGAGATGGTTCTTGCCTTAGCTTAGGCTGGTCTGGAACTCAAGCTCATGCAATCCGCCTGCCTCTGCCTTCCAGAGTTCTAGGATTATAGGCATGAGCCACCACATGTAACAGATTTCTTTTACTTTGGATAAATACCCAGTAGTAGGATTGCTGGATCATATACTAGAAATCTCCATGCTGTTGCCACAATGACTATACTAATTTGCTTTACCACCAATAGTGTAAGAGTTCCTTTTTTCTGCCTTTGCAAGCATCTGTTATTAGCCATTCTAACAGGAAAAACATGTCTCATTGTGGTTTTAAATTTAATTTCCCTGATATTAGTGATATTGAGCATCTTCTCATGTATTCATTGGCTATTTGTATGTCTTCCTTTGAGAAAGTCTACTCAGTTCCTTTGCCCACTTTTTTTTTTTTGAGACAGAGCCTCAAGCTGTCCCCCTGGGCAGAGTGCCGTGGCATTACAGCTCACAGCAACCTCCAACTCCTGGGCTCAAGCGAGTCTCCTGCCTCAGCCTCCCAAGTAGCTGGGACCACAGGCGCCCGCCACAACGCCCGGCCATCTTTTGGTTGCAGCCGTCATTGTTGTTTGGCGGGCCCGGGCTGGGGATTCAAACCCGCCACCTTAGGTGTACGTGGCTGGCGCCTTAGCCGGTTGAGCTATAGGCGCCGAGCCCCTTTGCCCACTTTTTAATGGGATTTTGGGGGTTTTCTTTTTTTTTTTAATTGTTGAGTTGTTTCAATTCTTTGTATATTGTAGATATTAGTTTCTTATTGGAAGACTACTTTGTAAATATTTCCTCCCATTCAACAGATTGTCTCTGTTGATTGTTTATTGTGCCACAGCTTTTTAGTTTGACATAGCATTTACATTTGTCTATTTTAGGTTTGTTTGTTTGTTTCCTGTGATTTTTAGGTCTTAGTCATAAAATCTTTGCCTAGCCCAGTGTCCTGAAATGTCTCCCCTATGTTTTATTTCAGTAGTTTTATACTTTCGGGTCTTACATTTAACTGGTTAATCTGTCTTGAGTTGATTTTTGTATATGGTGAGTTAAAGGGTTTCAACTTTTTCATCTTAACACTAAAAAATTGTTTAGAGATATTAACTCACTTCCAGATATTTTATATACAGTATAAATGAGATCCATATGAGAGGGAGAATCTATGCATTTAAAATATATAGTCTATGAATTTCAGTTATTTCCCAGAAAGGACTTATGCCAAAGGGAAATAGGAGAAAGAGGATGTCTAATTTGGCTGTGCTAATTTAGTCTTAACCAGACTTCCACTTCTGGCTGAGTACAGTCTACACTGGACATTACTGGTTCATGCTTTTTTTCTCTTTTTGCATCTTTTTCTTTCCTTTTTCTAACTATTCCTTTTACTGTTTATGGATCCTTGTCTTTTCTTCATTTCTCTTTAGTTCAAAGTCCTAAATGTTGCCCTGTTAGAGAGATTTTTATCTGGTTGGGGTTTGTGCTGGAAGAAGTAGTTTCTGGTGTACACCAATACGACAAGAAACCCTATGCCGTATTCTCTTACCATTCTGTGTCAGGCAGTAAGAAGGGAAGGGAAGGGAAGGAGGAAGGAAGGAAAAGTTGAATGGTTTATTGCCAAGTGACTGAACAGCATGCTGAACAACCAGGCCAGAGATTTGAGCAATTAGGCGACTATATGGTGGGAACTCAATGTATACTAATTTAGGAAGTGCCAATCAGGTGATGCAGTTCTACTGCCTTCTAGTCCTGTGTGTCCCTGCTCACAACTCAGATTCCTAGAAGAGCCTAATCATTTTGGCTTAGCCTGGCTCAGGAGTGATCATTAGCTTGCTGGAATCAGAGTGTTGGAAGGACAGATGCCACAAAGGCATAGATTCTAGAAGGAAACAGAAAGAAGAGAAGTGTCTACATTCTAATTTGGCTGTATAACATACTCACATGTCCTTTCCCCCATAAAATGTCGTTTGAAAATATTTGTCTATTATCATGCAGGTAACTCCTACACAAAGGAAGAATCCCCAATCCCTTCCTTACTAGTTACCAGTCACCACATCTAGCGAGGAAGCTTGAGGCTACCACTTCCTAGGTTTGTATCATCAGGTCATGGCCATGCCCCCTGTAGGTCTGTGCTGTGTTAAGGATAAAATGATACACTAGAGTGCGCTGACGTGTCTCATATGCCGAAACGTTAAAAAATAAAAAACAAGCAAGGGAATACAGATAATGGCATTAGGGCATGCTTGTGTCTCTCTTGGTTACAAGATTGAGGTGGTATTTATGATTTTTTGCTATCCATCTTATGTCTCTTTTTGCCCTTAGGATGGTTGGCATGTTGGTGTCTGCTGAACTAGACGAACCACACTCTTCTTCAGGAAGAATCTAAGCACTTACTGTTCTTACCTGGTACCTCCACTGATTCTTTTCTATTTGTACTGTATTCCTCCTGGAGAAGTTCTACTCCTTCTAACCTTGATTTACATCTGGCAACATTATTTTGCCTCAATTACTGTCATCATTCTGGCATAATCCTCTTTTTTTTT